GCAGTGGGTTCAAACTACAGCATAGCAGATTTTGATTAAATCAAGAAAAATTTCCTGACTGTAAGAACAATAGGACAATGGAACAGACTGCCTAGGGAGGTTGTGGAAGCTCCTTCACTGGAGGTTTTCGAAAGGAGGCTGTATAGCCACCTGTCTTGGATGGTTTAGACACAACAAATCCTGCATCTTGGCAGAAGGTTGATTAGATGACCCTTGCGGGCCCTTCTAACCCTATGATTCTATTGGACAACATGGAAGAAAGCATAAAGCTAAATAACTGAGCAATAGATGGAAAGCAGTTAGTCAGAGCAAAGGGAATGAGATAAAAAGGGATGAGCAAATGAGTGCAATGATACAAAATAAGATTTTTTAAAAATGAAGATACCAGGAGCTATCTAGGCAATAATAATGTTTATCTTGACAGTGACTGTATCTCAATACACTGCTATTAAGTACCATGATCACTGTTGTAAAGAACTGGAAGTTGGGCAATATCTATAGATTCATATTCACAGATTTTAAAACCAGCTGGGATTATTAGATAATCTGTATATCATTGGGCCCTATATCATAAGCCCTTAAAATTCACCAGGTTACCCCGGTATTGAGGCCAATAACTTGTGCCTGACTAAAGCATCACTTGTGATCGCTAAAACATATCTTTCAGAAAGCCATCCAGTCTTGATTTGACTATATCAACAGATGGAAAATCCACCCTTTTCCCCTGATTCTCTACTCCAATGAGTACTCTAACTTCACTATTAAAGTGTGCCTTATTTTCTAATTTGAATTTGTCTGGCTTATACATCCAAGGCTCACATTAGCTCTTTTTGCCTCAGCATCACACTGGGAGCTGGTGTTGAATTGCTCGTCTCTTATAACCCATACAGTAGAACCTCAGAGTTATGAACACCTCAAGAATGGAGATTGTTCATAACTCTGAAATGTTCGTAACTCTCAAAACATTATGGTTTTTCTTTCAAAAATTTACAGCTGAACATTAACTTAATACAGCTTTGAAGCTTTACTATGCAGAAGAAAAATGCCGCTTTCCCTTCATTTTTTTTAGTAGTTCACATTTAACACAGTACAATATTTGCTCCCCCCCTTGCAATCTCTGCTGCTGCCTGATTGTGTACTTCCTGTTCCAAATGAGGTGTGTGGTTGACAGGTCAGTTCATAACTCTGAGGTTCTACTGTACATCCTTTTCAGAATCACTGCTTTCCAGGATATAGGCCCTCATTCTGTAGGTATGGTAATGTATTCCTAGGTGTATAACGTCTCATTTATCTGTATTTTTTGAGTGGCCCAGCTTACCAAGCAATCCAGATCACTCTGTATGACTGCCCTGACCTCATCATTATTTACCATTCCACAAACAGTAAGTCATCCACAATTTTTATCACCAATTTTATATTTATTTTCAGATCAGTGATGAAAGTGTTGAATAGTATCAGGCCTACTATCATTCCCTGGGGAACACCCCCATTCAGTGAAGGTTTCCAACTTACAACGACTTTGTTATCTGTTTCTTAATCCATTTAACATGTGCTGTATTGATATTGTATAGTGCTATATTTTTTAAATCAGAATGTCATGCACTACTAAACCAAACCTCTTACAAAAGTCTAAGTATGTTACATCTATGCAGTTACTTTATCAACCAAATTTGTAATCTCAAAGAATGAAAATTAGGTTTGACAAGATTTATATTCCATAAACCATGCTGACTGGCATTATATTCCTATCCTTTATCAAGTAAATCCTGTATCAGCTTCTCAATTATTTCCCCTGGGGTTGTCAGGGTAACTTGTCTATAATTACTTGGGTCATCCCACTTGCCAATTTGAATATTGGCAGATTAGCAATCTTCCAGTCCTCTGGAATTTCCTTAATATTCCAAAAATTATTAAAAATTAGTATCAGTGGGCCAGGGATCTCCTCAGCCAACTCTTTTAGGACCTTTGGGTGCAAGTTATCCAGACCTACTCATTTAAAAAATGTTTATCCATAGCAGACATTGTCTAACATCCTTCTCAGTTACTAACATACTGGAAAAATATTTCATCCTCATAAGATACGAGTGCATTATCCTACTTCTTTCCAATACAAAGCCAGAAATACATACTGAACACTTCTGCCCTTTCTGCATCATTAACCATTTTACCTTCTCCATGTTGTAATGTGCCTATACCATTGCTAGGTTCTCTTTTCTTCCCAATGTACTTTAAAAAGCTCCTCATTGTCTGTAGCCCTGCCAGCCACAGATTTTTCCTCTTTCCTTTTATATTGATTGCTATCTAGCTCCCCTTTTTCCATTTCATAGATATTGCTTTTTGTTTCTAATTGATGCCTTCACTTTGCCACTGAACGAGGATGGGCTTTTAGCCAAAATTGTCCTTTCTTGATAGCGTAATAATGGCGTTTTGGCCATCTAATAATCCTTAAAGAACTCCCAAATTACATTTTTCTGTCTAAATGTTTCCTCCTAATCAATATGACTCAAAACTTTCTTCAGCTTTAGAAAGTTAACCCTTTTGAAGCACCAAATATATACACATGTTGCTGGCTGGGATTGTCCTCCGTTTGCCCATAGTGAATGTTATCAGGCCAGGATCACAGGTCCTTAGGCAACCACCAGCTTCCAGTCCATTGATTAATCACTTTTATATATCATAATGAGATTAAAAATAGAGTTACCTCATGTTGGGTGCTTATTACCTTTTGTGTTAGAAAAGAGGAGCATATCTCAAAACATATGGAAAAGCTGTACAAGGTAGATATGTTTGTCTGAGCTCATCCATCCACTTGCAGTGTCCTATGGGAAACCAGTTAGTGCGTTTTATGGAACAAGTAGTTTTCTACTGAATGATGCAATATGTTTTCTACCTTTGTAATAGATCCAGGTCTGAAGTGGGAACTGCAAGTAACAAGACATTTGCTAGCTGGCCTAATTCTTACCATAGGCTTGCATAGCTGGAGCTAGGGACAACTTAAGGAAATCCTCATCCGGTTCAGAGCCAGTTCTACACCACCTGGTTCTGGCCACAAATACCCTGACACAGGAGATGTCAGGGCAGGAAGGGGGGCATTACCAGCAGTGAGGCTGCTCTAAGTTCTCCAGGAGCTGAAGTGGCCCCAGTTCCCCAAGTGTACATCAGCCAGACCTAATTATCTTACCCTCTAAATCCATTTAAACACCTGTGATTGAATGGATGGCGGCAGGATGAAGGAGTAAATGTATGAGGGCCTGCTATAGCAAATGTAAAGGGCCCTTAATATAATCGGGCCTGGGTGTTTGGAATTCAGCAGGCTGCAGGAAGGGGTTCCCAGGAAGATACTAAGTGACTTTCAAAAACTGGATAAAGCCCTTGTTGGTAGGGTCAAGTGTATTTTGCGAACTGCTTGAAAAACATAGGGCCAAAGTCTCTCAGTTACACTGGTGTAAATCCAGAGTAACTATTCAAATCAGTGAAGTTTTTCTAGATTTATACCACTGTAAATAAGGAAAGAATTTGGCCCCTTGCCCAGGATACTAATGCCTTCCATTCCCACGCTACTTATGTCGTAACAGGCTAGTCTACTAACCAACAGGCTATTAATGTCTACACCTCAAAGAAAGCAGCAGGACAGAAATCTATTCTAAGTATCTCTCTCAAGAAATGTTTTTATTCTGAACATCCCTCTCCCCTTTCAGCAGCACACGAGCTCTGCATTTGGATTGCAACAGTCAGTCCCTAGTTGATTCTTTTTTTGGCAACCAAAACAAAGAAGAGGAACTAGTCCTAAAGCACTCCAAGTCGTCTAATTTTCTCCATGAGCTGACACATCTCTGAACGCTCACAACAGCAGCAGTAATTGCCTGCACGTGAGATGGAACTGGGGTAAAAATAACTTCTCTCCTAGGAACACTTGTTAATTATCTGTGGCAGAGAAAGCAGGTCAAGTATGCAACTCGATATTATGACGTTCATTCAGCTACCACTGTCTGAAGCAAGTGACAAGTGGCTGCACATGCCTTCCTCAAATGCTCCTCCAGTACAGTACAAGTTGTGAATGAATAATGTCCATGTAAAAGGCTTCCTGAAGTTTCATGGGGGGGGGAGGAGGGGAAGGGGGAGAAAAACTTTCCCTAGCTAGACAGAGAGAGGTGAGGCTCTCTCTCTGCTGCATTTCAGACTATTTGTATTACAATACTGTTTGTCTTAATAGGAAACACACACAAAAAAGAAAAACCCACCACCACTTTAAGAAATTAACTGCTATAAGTGAAGGGATCTTTCCAATGCAGAAGCAGGCAGCACCCTTTTGAATAACAAGAGCACTTTAGTTTTGGCAGCTAATGGCCCAGACCCTCAGCTATGAACAAGGATTTCAAAATGCAGCTTGGCATGGGCATGTGCAAAGGCTTCTTTAACACACTTTTGCACTCCCCTGAGCCTGGGCTGGCTGTGCCCACAGCATTAGCTAGAGTGCTGGAAGGTTATTCTAACTTGCCCTGGCTGCCACCAACCCCAAGGAGTCAGTAAAGCAGCGAGGGATCCATAGAGCACATAGACTACCATTTACATCAGCTATGCCCTCTCTGCCAGATCGAGCAAGGGGATGTGGTGTAGGAGCTGCTATGTTCTGTGCCCCTGGAGGCATTCCCTACACTGGGGTGAGCCTCCTGTGACCAGTTATGGTGGCTTTCAGGCTCATCTGAGTCTGTAGCCTGAAGAAGCTACACCATAGCCCAAAATCTCTAGCATTAGGTCACAATATTGAGAGGAAGGATATAGGTTGAGTACCCATGTATTTTTTCGATCTGGACATATTTAACCTTCATCCATTTCTGTACAGAACTGCAAAAAGTGGGGGCGGGGGGAGAGAGAAGGTCATACAGGAACATGTAACCCCAACCCCTCCCACTCACATTTACTTTCACTGCTGAAAATCTCAGGTTTCCCCTTCACCCTCATCATTATTCTAATATCTTGTTGCTGAGAGACTGGTGGCACAAGCAGAGATGCTAAATGAAAATGTGAGTCAGCCACAAGATTTTGCAAAGATGTGGGTTTCTAAAATCAGAGCGGAAGAAACAAACACTTTCCAAGGAAAGGGGGTGACAGCAGAACGTTATGGCAGGGCAGTTGCAGTGCTAACGGTGGAAACCTCACTCCATGGCCAAGCAATAGCAGCAGAGTTTTTAAGGCTCTATTCGGTGTCTGTGGTGGAAGGTAAGAACGCTATTTCCTTGCACTATGTAGTAAATTCAAAATCCAGAGTGGAGCAATATCCTGCAGGCTTCGACACTGTGCTGAATCTGTTCTGCCTCTGCTCCGAGACAGAGTTAAATATTTCTCTTTAGAAGAAGGGTTCTAGCTACCAGTATTTCGTAGACAAGTCTGATCACATCCAAGTCAGGTTGATAACTTTCATGATGGCAGATGTCCCTGGAAAGGACAAATGAAACCTCTCCTCTGGTTGAGTTTCAGTCGGCTTCACTCACTGAGGCTTTTAAAGTACTGAGGGAGCTTGGATCTGCTCACTGGAAGCTGGATCCATGCCCACCTTATAGTTCGTAAACTTAGTGGAGTGAATGTTGGGTCAATTGGGCAGATCAGGATGCCAAAGTAGTAATGTTTATGACCATGGTTATCAACTCTTCTGCCCCTCTACCTTATCTAGATTTATACTGCTCTCATACCATTGCGCTTGGACACTATGATTATCTCTTGATGCCAGTGACCCTGTTGATGAAAGTTATTGAAAAATTAATGGTGACAGTAACACCAGCATCACCTGACATCCTCAGATTTCTTTGATCCTGGTCATTCTGGCTTTTTGGGGTTGCAGAAGGCTGGGAAGTTTGGCTAGTTTAGTGTGGTAAAGATATTTCCGGCAAAGGAGAGAGGATAGGTATTGTCACTGATTCTCTTAGATACTTCCACCTTTAATGCCTTTGACTTCAAGGTTTTGTTGCCTGGTCTGAATATTGCTTGGAAGAGAAGGATTTCATTATTTTCATCTCCGGTCTTGGCTACAGAAGGGACTTTCAGTGGAAAAATTCCTATCATTGATAACACCAGTTCAGTTGAACCAGTGCTAGCCTCAGTAGGACCCCTATTGTAGACAAAAGTCTATCAAATTCTAGCATTTTTGCCAGTCAATTGAAACTCCTCTTCAGCTGAGCCAAGGAAAGCAACAGTGGGATTTAAGTGTAAAATTCCATAGCATAGGCACAGCCTTTGAGAGATACTGGAGGATGGTGAGCAATTTCTGATGTGCTCTGAGGGCATGTATGTTGCCGTCTGTTGGTTTCTCTTCTACCACTGCTTTTATTCAAGGTTTTTATGCAAGGTTCTTGAGCAACACAGCAAGATGTGTGGGCTGTGAGGCTATCACTATGTGGATTATTTGCAGCTTTATGGCAGTGTTTTAAAATTGAACTTGGACAATGCTTTGCTCTCTCAGTGTCTGGCTAAAAGAAGAAGATTTGGCCAACATTGAATTGGTTGGTGTTCAATCCATAAAACAGAGGTGGAGCTAGAAGGTTGGGAAAAGTCATTTAGGGAAAATGAAGAGGAAGGTGTCCACTTATTATTGAGGGAGCCTGTCCAATTTTGTCTGACAGATCTAGAAATTGGGAGTGCTGTCAGTTCTCTGGATTCCAAGGTATCAAGAGATCTTTTTTCACATGCAAATATCACAGTAGTCGACTCCAGTGATTACAAAGAAGAGAACTACCATAATGTACTCTGCATAGGGCACCTTTGGAAGGCCACTCAGAAATAGTACAGAATGCAGCTGCTGCAGCATGGTGCAATCTGCCTTCTTGATAAGATTAGCTGCAGGAAAATTATACATACAAATCATTCAAAGACTGCCCGGGCTTCTTATTTCCTTCTAAGTGCTTTTCAATGTTTTGACATTAATCTTAGAAACTAACTAGCTAGCTCTCCATGTGCCATGGCAGCTGTGTCTAGCTGAGGAACTGTGGCTATCAGTCTCTCTAGTCTTGAATATCTTTGTCCTGGGACCATAGCCCCACGGGCATTGGTTGAGGACCCTCAACCATGGAATTCAGTGCTCATGGTGGTCCTCCACAGGCCAAGGTTGTTGACCTTCTGGAGCGTTGCTGTGCTCTCAGAATCTGTAGCTGGAATAACAGTCCCTTAGGGGTACATACCAGTCAGGATTACTTTAAGAAGTCTTGAGTCCGCATTGATTTTGCTGGGAACCTAACTGGTCCATGGATCAGAGATGTGCAAATGGTAAGAAAGCAACCTGTACCTCTCCCTCTCGGGTCCTGCACAAAGCCAAATTCAGCCACACTGAGGAGGCTGAGCGCTGAATTGAACCTCAAAGATTTTTATAATTTTCATTTCTTGTGAATTGATGACAATGCTTCAAAAATATGTTAAGTCATCTGCAAGAGATGGCAGAATTTTTCCTGAAAGGATCTCGAGTTTCCTTACTGCTATTATATTGCTTCTATGCCCCCTGCACAAACTTCATGTTCAGAACGAAAGGATTTTCAACTCAAATTAGCTGCTTTCCAGCTTTGTGAAATGATAACATGTGCCAAACAACTCCAGAGGGCAATAGCTAGTAAGAGCTCAGAATAGCTTTCCTCCCTTTTGAAAAAAAAAATACAAGAACGTTAAGCTTCCAAAATAGCCATCCAGGAAAGGATTTCAGAGCAGGTTGCACAGAGGCATGTGGCTGTCTTACTCTGTCATAGTCTAATGCATGAGAGCAGGCAAACTCTATTTATAAAAACTATAGATGTCAGTGGAGTGCAAAGACTGAGGCAGAAAAACAAATGGAGAGGAGAAACAATTCTGCACTACAGCAAAAGTTGCCCTTTGTATTTCCCTGCAGAAAATATCAACCTAGATCATGAATTGTGCTGTGTTTAAATTAAAGATAACTAGCACATTTTTAAATGAACTAGCTGTAGGATTATGCAGTGAATATCCCCAATCACATAGGTATAAGAGAGGCATTTTGCATCTGCTGTCAATTATGTTAAGCATTCATCTTTTTCTTCATTTAAGTTACAGTAAATGCTGAAACCTCCTCATACCCGGGATTTTGGGTGTTTAGTGCATAGACTTAATACTATGTCATTACAAATACATGCAGATCACCTTCCAGGCAAGATACCAACAGATTTGACCGATTTGAGCTCAAGAGGCAAGAGTATTGTATGACTTCAGAAGAACACAGGAGTTGCTATGCGAGATGAAACCAGTGGTCCATCTTGTTCAGAAGGGCTGGTCTACACTACTGCAGTAAGTGGACCTAAGTTACGCTACTTCAGTTACATGAATAATGTAGCTCGAGTTGACGTAGCTTAGGTCGACTTACCGCAGTGTGTTACTCTTCTCAGCAGCTGGAGTGCAGGAGTCGACGGGGGAGCAATCTGCCATTGATGTAGCAGGTCTTCACCAGATCCACTAAACTGACACCACTGCATCAATCGCAGCAATGCTGATCTACCGGTAAGTGTAGACATGGCCACTGGTCTTGGAAGCAGCTAGTATTGACCACTGTTGGAGGAAGGTACAGGAAAACTTGTGGTAGACAGCTATGTGATAATCTGCCCAAAGGAAAAATTTCCTCCTAAAACCCCTGAAAAAGCCCTGGAGTATGAGGATTTGTAGCCCTACCACAAACTCTTGGTGTTTTACAGTTTGCTGTTGTAATTCTGGATCTTTTTGTTTTCCATATTAGTGTCCAATTTTTTTGAGTCCAGCTAAACTCTTGGCCTCACTGATATCTTGTTGGGCAGGGGAAGTGCAGTCCACAAGTGGAATAAGTATTTTACTTACTATTCATGCTACCACCTGCCTTCTATGCTTTTGTAGTCACTGTTAGAAGTTATTGTTGTATGAATTTCCTTGGTTGACATTAATTGTAGCTAATTATCACATGTAATTATGGTACATCTTGTTAAGTACCAATAAGGCAAACAATTGTAATGAGCAATTATGTAATTACACAATTATTTAAATGGAGTGATTATGCAAAAGTTCTTATTAAGCTTTCAAGAAAGAAAGAAAGCAGTGGGATTGGCTGCTACAGAGTCAATTTCACAGCATATATGTTGTGTGGAAGTCTGACATTGGAGGAGTGTTTAATAATGTTACAAATTTTAAAAAGCTTCCTTTTTTTCTTGCTGATTCTTATGAATGAAGTTATTGCCATTTCAGATTAGATCAGTGACCCTTATATAGGTTCAACTCAACTGTATCTAGTACCTTGAAGCATTGGGAAGGTGCAAGAATTCCCATAGTGGACAGATTATGAAATAATCTGCACAGAAAGTTTTATACTAACCCTTTCCATTAGTGGTTGGTTTAGCCCTAACTTTTCAAATCTTATCTGATGTTACTGCTTCTCAGTGAGATCTTGTGACAATGGGATTTCCACAGGTTAACTGTGTGCTGTGTAAAAATAGTACTTCCTCCTTTTGTCAGTTTAAAAGTTAGCTTTCCATTCCATTTACAGTCACCTTCCTATATTGACAGAGCAAATAGAAGCATCTTATTTACCTTCTGTACACCATTTGTTATTGCACATACATCAAGCATGCTGCTTACTATTAATCTCCTCTTTAAACTGCATGTTCCCAGTCTTTTGCTATCTTGATTCCAGCTTTTGAACGCCATTAAAAAAAACTACTAAATCTCTAGTATTATTAATGTGTGTCTTGGCCTCATTCTGGTAGGATTATATACTCTCTCTGCTGAGATTGTGGTCCATCAATTGTCCCTGCCTGGGAGATATCTGTGGTGGGAATGGGTATTGTCTAAATATAAAGGGAAGGGTAAACCCCTTTGAAATCCCTCCTGGCCAGGGGAAAGCTCCTCTCACCTGTAAAGGGTTAAGAAGCTAAAGGTAACCTCGCTGGCACCTGACCAAAATGACCAATGAGGAGACAAGATACTTTCAAAAGCTGGGAGGAGGGAGAGGAACAAAGAGTCTGTGTGCTGCTCTTGCCAGAGACAGAACAGGAATGGAGTCTTAGAACTTTTAGTAAGTAATCTAGCTAGGTATGTGTTAGATTATGATTTCTTTAAATGGCTGAGAAAAGCATTGTGCTGAATAGAATAACTATTTCTGTCTGTGTATCTTTTTTGTAACTTAAGGTTTTGCCTAGAGGGGTTCTCTATGTTTTTGAATCTAATTACCCTGTAAGATATCTACCATCCTGATTTTACAGGGGGATTTCTTTATTTCTATTTACTTCTTTTTTTTATTAAAAGTCTTCTTGTAAAAACTGAATGCTTTTTCATTGTTCTCAGATCCAAGGGTTTGGGTCTGTGGTCACCTATGCAAATTGGTGAGGCTTTTTATCCAACACTTCCCAGGAAAGGGGGGTGCAAGTGTTGGGAGGATTGTTCATTGTTCTTAAGATCCAAGGGTCTGGGTCTGTAGTCACCTAGGCAAATTGGTGAGGCTTTTTACCAAACCTTGTCCAGGAAGTGGGGTGCAAGGTTTTGGGAAGTATTTTGGGGGGAAAGACGCGTCCAAACAGCTCTTCCCCAGTAACCAGTATTGTTTGGTGGTGGTAGCGGCCATTCCAAGGATAACGGGTGTAATATTTTGTACCTTGGGGAAGTTTTGACCTAAGCTGGTAAAGATAAGCTTAGGAGGTTTTTCATGCAGGTCCCCACATCTGTACCCTAGAGTTCAGAGTGGGGGAGGAACCTTGACATGGTGGCACAGTGGTGGGATTAACCTGAAATCATCTGAGATCCAGTTGAGATTTTTTGAACTAGAAATACAGATTTTAAAAAGGAAATTTTTTTCTTTGGAAAGAAAGTCCAGAAAGCAGCTTTGAAACTTTGGCCAAGCAGAGACAAAGGGGATTATCTTGTGAATTGCAGGTTTTTTTGCCTGGAGGCAGGGTACTTAACTCCTGCAGGGAAATTCACAGTCTTCCAACCCATTGTTTTTTTTTTTCTTTTCTTCCTAAAAGTAAATAGGGGGTGTGTGTTCTACCCATTTGCTTTTTCTTTGGGCTGGGTAAGCAGGTTTCCAAGCAGTTGGAGGTTTTTTTGCTTTAAATTGGGCCCAGAGCAGAGACAAGGGAATTGTCTTTTTCTGTAGGCTGACAATCACTATCAGAGAATAGGTATTCTATTGCAGCACAGCAAAATTTTACAGCCAAGTTTTGTTTGTTTATTTCTAAACCTCGGGGGTAAAGTTAGTTAAAAACAGAGAGGTTAGAATGACCAAATCCTCAGCTCGACTACAGCTGGAATTAGCCAAATTTCAGGCTGAGGAAAACAAAGGGAACATGAAAGACAGATAGAACTCATGCGGCTGAAGAAGGAAAAGAAAGGAGACAGCGAGAGAAGCAGAACAACACCAAGCGGCTGCTCACAGGAGAGCTATGGAAGCAAGGGACAAAGAACTGGAGGAGAAGGAAAAGAGAGGAAGTATGTGGAGGAGATGGAGAAGATAAAGGCTCAGCAGAATATCCCAACAAACCCTAGTAATCCTTCTCCAAGTACCACTTCCCATCCCAGAAAGTTCCCCACCTACAAGGCAGGCGATGATACTGAGGCCTTCCTAGAAAACTTCAAAAGGGCCTGCCTTGGGTACAACATCTCTGCTGACCAATACATGGTAGAGCTGAGGCCGCAGCTCAGTGGACCCTTAGCTGAGGTGGCAGCTGAAATGCCTAAAGAACACATGAACAAGTATGAACTGTTTAAATCCAAGGCGAGAGTCAGAATGGGGATAACACCCGAGCAGTCTCGTCGGAGGTTCAGAGCCCTAAGGTGGAAACCAGACATGTCATTTACCCGACATGCCTACCACATTGTGAAACATTGGGATGCCTGGATATCAGGAGCAAGTGTTGAATCTCCAGTAAATTTGCCCTTCCTAATGCAAATGGAACAATTCTTAGAGGGTGTTCTGAGGAAATAGAAAGATACATCCTAGATGGGAAACCCAAAACTGTAATTGAGGCAGGAGAGATTGGAGCCAGATGGGTGGAGGTGGCAGAGAAGAAGAAAACTGGTCGCAGTTGGAGCGGAGACCAGAAGGGACACCCCAGACCACACCTTATTACGGGGCCGCCCAAAGCCCCACCTACCTCCCAAAGAACCCTCCAGACCCCTTATCGTCCCACCACCCCGTTCTCCAGCAGCCTCCTCGCCCCAGTGACCCGTCAGCTGGACGATGTTTTAAATGTAAGAGCTGGGGCATGTAAAGGCCAACTGCCCCAAGAACCCCAACAGATTACAGTTCATTGCACCGGAATCACACCAGAGGTCCACAGGCCCAGATACCTCCCAGATACCCTTGGAGCGGAGGGAAACTGTGAGTGTGGGGGGAAGAAGGTCACCGCGTGGAGGGACACCGGAGCACAAGTGTCAGCTATCCATGCTTCCTTAGTGGACCCCAATTTAATCAACCCAGAGATCCAAGTGACGATTCAACCCTTCAAGTCCAACTCTTTCAATTTGCCTACAGACAAGTTGCCTGTCCAGTACAAGGGCTGGTCAGGAATGTGGACTTTTGCAGTCTATGATGATTATCCCATCCCCATGCTGTTGGGGAAGACTTGGCCAATCATGTGAAGCAGGCCAAGAGGGTGGGAATGGTCACCCGCAGCCAGGCTAAACAAGCCGTGAGGCCTAGCTCTGTTCCGGAAATTCTATCAGGACCCAGTCAGAGGTGATGGACCCGGACCCCAGGCCAATGTCTGCAACAGCAGTAGTGGATCCAGTCCCAGAGACCCAGACGGAACCAGTCCTAGAACCGGAACCAGCCGAACAACCAACACCAGACCCCGTGTCAGCACTGAATCCAGTACTTGCAACCTCAACAACAGAGGGCCCCACCGAACCTGAACTGGCAGCAGCCGATAACCCGACCCAAGAGGCTCAGCCGAGCCTGAATCCCAACATAGTGCACCAGCGGAGGCGGTTCACAATCAACAGAAACAGCTCCATCCCCTATATCGCTTCCAGAGGGACCAAGCCTAGGTCCACAATCCCATGAGGAACTGATGTCTCCAGCATCAAGGGAACAGTTCCAGACCGAACAGGAAGCAGATGAAAGCCTCCAGAGAGCTTGGACGGCGGCAGGAGCAACCCACCGCCTCTCAGCTCTTCTAATGATCCAGGTTTGTTGTAGAAAGAGGACTTTTATACAAGGAAACTCTTTCTGGTGGACACCAGGAAGACTGGCATCCTCAGAGACAGTTGGTAGTTCCAACTAAATACCGGGCCAAGCTCTTGAGCTTAGCCCATGATCACCCTAGTGGCCATGCTGGGGTGAACAGGACCAAAGACCGTTTGGGGGGGTCATTCCACTGGGAGGGAATGGGCAAGGATGTTTCTACCTATGTCCAGTCTTGTGAGGTGTGCCAAAGAGTGGGAAAACCCCAAGACTAGGTCAAACCCCTCTCCAGCCACTCCCCATCATTGAAGTTCCATTTCAGCGAGTAGTGTGGATATTCTGGGTCCTTTTCGAAAAAAACACCCAGAGGAAAGCAGTACATACTGACTTTCATGGATTTTGCCACCCGATGGCGGAAGCAGTAGCTCTAAGCAAACAGGGCTAAAAGTGTGTGCA